ATTCAATAATAATTAAAATTTGTTTATATAAATATTGAATATAATTTATAGAAGAAATTTCTATTATAATAATTATAAAAAATATATATATTAGTTAAAACCTTCATGATTTTATTCCTCTATAATAGGCATCGCAAAACATATCTAATATATTCTGCACATCTCTATTATGAATATATATATAATACACTTTTCAGTTTAATAAATTTATTATTATTAGAGAAACACATGCTTTTTATACTTAATATACACAATTGAATGTATCATAAAATCTTTTATACATATTCCTTCAATATGTAATATAAGAGCAAAGAAATAAATTATTAACTAACTAAATATAACTTAATTATATAGTTATTAAGTAAAATCTACGTTAACTTATAAACTACGTATATACAGTATAAATATATAAGTATTCACAGATTACGTTATAAAAAAAAAATAAAATAACAGCGAAGGAATATTTATTCCAACAAGTATATATTTTACCATAAAAATATTTCTATTTCGTCTTTCCGCTCATTAGATTTACTTATAAATCATCACATGTACTAAATTGGATATAGTACATAATATAGGATTTATATTTTTTACATCCATTTAGCAAAGATCCTCTTACAGTATGATAACACATACTAATTTCATAGTGCTTGCAATTTTCACGAATTCAATCATTGTAGGTATATAATAATGAACAATAATTTAAAAAAAAAAAATTAATAACATTACAATCATAACACTGATCTTATCGGCATAATTATAATTTTAAATATATAAATATACATAAAAAAATATAATTCTGCTAAACCTATAAATCTAAACTCTAAACCTAATCCCTGAATATCAAAGTACATCAAAAATAATTTTACAATGAGATTCATAGCGTTTTTATACAAAAAAAACACACAATGTAGCATACATATTAAGTTATATATTATTAATTTTTATGATATAAATTTTATATAATAGTTCTTATATTAATACATGTATGAAAACGGAAAGTATATTTAAAATATATAATGATTCTCTTTTAGTCAAGTGAGAATGTAAATTAAGTTTGTTTTATTTAGATCTATATAATAATCATATGGAATATTCAGAAAATATAATTTTAATTAGTATAATATTCATATAAAAATAAATAATGTATGAAAAATATTAAGAAAGCTATATACTTGCATAATATCAAATGATGAAAATAAAAAAATACATTATATGTTAAATATAAAAAGCTCCATACTATAATGTCTCTATTTCATTGTTTATTTATATTTTTTAGCAAAATAAATAATAAAATATTGGTTAAATATAAAAATAACGGAATATTCATAATTAATATACTATTTATATAAATAAGAAAATTGTATTATAAAACTTTTTTTCATAAAATTGTTAAACATATCATAATATATTGCTTTAAATGTTTATATATAAGTAATAACATATGGAATTATTTACTAATTCACGTATAAAAATATAATTCAACCATTACCAGATATTTTTTTATGGAATAAATTCATGTTAATGAATGTTTTTTTAGTTATATTTATCAATGTTCTAGAACTATATATAAAATAATAAAAGAAAATACAATCTCTAAGATTATACAACATAGAAAAGAGTACATCTAAGGTATGTATTTTAACGCTAGCGTATAATCTGAATTTATTAAATTTATAACTAATACGCTAAATTTTCCAATAATCCTATGCAAAAATAAAATAAGAATTAATATTTAATAATTCGCATATATTGTGCATTCGATTATATATAATTCGTATAAGTTCTTATATTTATCATTAAATTATGTAATTTTTATACATGGAAAAAGTTCTAAATTGTGAAAATAAATGATTATTTGTATATTTTTATAAGATTAATTACATTAAATTACATATAATAAGATAAAAAGTCATAAAACAGGTAAATGAATAATAATTTACATATTAAAACTAACAATATATATTACCAATATATCATTTTACACTATATATATTATTAATTAAATTACATATTTTTGTATAACTGATTTGAATTAGTATTATGTGTTAGGATGTGATAAACATTTTATTCTTTATATATAATATGTTTATTTTTATCATTATTATAACAAATAACATTGAACAATCATTATACACGATGCATTACCGATATATTTTTAACTGTAACAGAATTAATAACCATTCTTATACATTACATTTTTATAGAAATATTATTACTAAAAAAATAGAATCATAATAATTATTCAAAGTAATTACATATATTTTTATAAATATACATTTGTATGTTTATAAATATATTTATTTTATCTGGATCACGTGGTGAAAAGAAGAATGATACATGAGATTAATGAATCAATCGTACGCTTCTATTATTATAGCATATATTCTCATAGTATAATAATTATAAATTCAATATATAATATAGCTTAATATAATATATATTATGTCATAATGTTATTATTTTCTCTTTTTTTTTAGTATGGATTTGTAAATTCCTTATTTCCTGAATGTAAAGAAGCTATAGAAGAGAATAGGGCACATGAATTAACAAATTATTGGGATGCACATTGTCAGAAAATTAATGATTTTTCAGAGGTGGTTAAGTCCGATGTTAAAAATACTATATGCCCCCAAGTTATGTTATATTTATATAAAATATATAGCGTACAAGAAAATCCATTAAAAGAAGTCGGTTTTAAATACATATATTATTGGCTTTACAAGGATCATCTGAAGGAGGGGAAAAAAAGTAGTGATATAAAGACACTTTATGAAGAATTGTTAAAAGTATACAATGATTTTTCCAAAAATGTTTCTAATATCGACTTCTATCAGAAAAATAAGTCTGACGATGAATTAGAGAACCTAAAAGACATATATGATTTGAATATTAAACTTCAAAGTATACAAAACACATCATATTGTAATATTAACAACAGATGTGATTGTGCCGAGCAATGTGCTAAAATTTATAATCGCCTCAAGAGTGCATGTATATCCCATTATGATCATAATTTACATAATGTATTAGATAAATATAGAAATAAATTTATTGATCTAGAATTAAATTCAACATGTGATAATATTTTACATTTAATATTACCTTTATCTCAAGATAATAAACAAATGATTATTTCATCCAAATCTAGTATTGTGTTTCCTAGGACAATTCCAATTTTTGTAATGTTAATATTGTCATTCTTTTTGTTTCTTGTGTATAAGGTAATTTGTGATATTACTTATATATAATATTAATATTTAACAATATCTCTTAATTAAATGAAAATAAAAAAATTATCAAAAAAAATTTACATGTTTAATATATAATTTTTTTGTATTCTTATTTAGTTTTCCCCATATGGCTTATGGATGAAACATAAAATAAAAAGTATTAAAAAAAAGGGGAATAATGATGATGAAATATCCAAAATCATGGAATTTTCTGAAATATATAACGATCTTTCTATGAATTCCAACTATAATTTATCATTTTGACTAATTTTACAATTAAATTTTTTATTCGAAGTAAACAATGCTATGATACAATATATAAATAATTGTAAGCATATCACGTGATGAGCAATTCCCTTATGAATTCTTTTAATATCATGTAATACTTACAATATAAAAAAAAGGAATAAATATTTTTTTATTAATTTGAAATGATGGTATTTTAAATATATATTTTTTTTTTAATTTTTAAGAATTATTGTCTAAACACATAAATGTTGAATAAAAATGTTATGAAGAAATTTTATTCTAGTCTTTTTTTTAATACGCTCAATTTAGAATGAGTAAAATTTTTTTCGTTATAATGATTTTCTATGTAAAATAATAACATAATTAAGGTTATATAACAATGCTTATGCAAATAATAGATTGTTGTAATATTTTAATATATGTGATAAAATATATTTAATATATAAATAAATTCATTTCCATATATAACAGTATTTATGTGTCCATGTGAAATTATATAATTCACATATTATTGTTTTCTTGTTATAACTATTTTAATAACTTTATTAACTTACTACATTAGCACGCTTACTGTGTGAACAGAAATGTATTATTATAATATGCAAATATATTATTTTATTTATCATTTTTTTAAAATTGAACAATACATAATATAAAGGATCCATTACATTTTTATTTACAGTTTTTTTTCTAAGCATTAATTCCAAAGATTTTTTCCTTGTTATTTTAATTATCCTCATACATTTATATACAATTATATGAAATGTTTTTTGTATATCCATATAATTTGAAGAGTAATGTAAATAGATCTTATACATAATTTTACATTATTGTGATTTTCAATTTTGTTACATTAAATGTATCATATATGTAGGTCTGCAGAATCATATTTGTACCAATTAATATATTATATTATAAAATTTTATTTTATATAATAAATATATACAAAAATAATAAAAAATACGACATAAATAATTATATTTTATGCTTAATACGAGTATCCTATTTAGATTAGTGTTTAGAAGTCCTTTTAAATCTTTAAAGCATAATATAAAACATATGATAAACAGGAAAAATTATTTTTAAATGTAATTACACAAGTATCAGGATGTAATGCAGTAAATTAATGTGTATTAATATAAAAAAGTAAAAGATTGTGAATGCAATATATTAAGCAAAAGAATTTATATAATTATAGTCATATATTATTATACATAACTCAAATAAAGGATAATTATTATGAATAGCATAGAAATACTTTAAATAATCTTCTTATATAAAAAAAAAATAAAAATAATTATATTATACGATGAAATTAGAATAAATTATAGAAATTATCTTCATATATAAAACAAGAGAGGAGGGTAAAATTTTATTTAAATCAAAAAATAATAAATTATTTTTCATTAATATACAAAATCTATTTATTTATTTCTTTTATTTTGTAACGAATAGAGAAAATATAAACATTTTGTTGTTCTGATAAATTATAACACTAATTTTCTTATTCTATATTACTACATCTATGAGGAAACATACTACTTATATATAAATAATAATAGCTAAGTTTGTGCATAATGAATGATTAAATAATAAAAATATATAAAGGTATTTCATCATAAATCGTGCTATTCCTATATTTAATTGTTTGTATAAGCTACAAAAAATATATTAATTAATCATTATTTAAAAATATTTTTATAAAGGTTATCACATATTCTGATTAATTGATTACACGTTTATAATTATATTAAAAATAATGAACCACTAAAATGAGCAGTAGGTCATATAAAATTTAATATATGTATTTAATTATTAAATGTTAAATATTAACGTATATGTGTTATATTACAAAAAAATAATATAAAAAATATATGTTCTTTGATCATAATAAAATAAATTATGACATGTTTAGAGCTCATATATAACATTTATCCACCTACAAATAAACTATTATGTGCAAGTATACAGTATGTATATAAATTTATATATTTAATTTAAAATATAAATTTTTATTAGTTATAAAACAATTATGATTTTTATATATTAATAACATTTAAAATAAAATTAAAGAGCTTATAACAAATGTATTTTTATTACTATGTTAAATGTACCTTACTAATTAACATAAAAATGTTATCATATACTAGGTACGAAATTTAATAAAACATCTTTCTATTTATATTAATTTATATAAATTATTCATTTTACATTTAACAAATTTTTATTAAACAAAATTTTTTTTATATTTTTCAAAAAATATCAAATATTAATTATAATTAAATAATATTAATCATTTCATCTAGTTTTTATTATTGAATGCATCTTTACAAATCAATATTATTTCTACTAGCTTATAACGCTAATGAATTTTTTAAATATTTCAATTTTTATAATCCTTTACCGTAATATAATATACTTCAAATATTAATACAACAGCTATTACAAGAAATGTAATAATATCATATTTAGAACCTATTCCATAGATAAAAAACAACATACTTCATCAGAAGATATACTTGTATTTATCGTTATATTAACATATTCTTATTTATGTATTATTCTAGTTATACTATTTTGTTTGTAGAAATATTTTAATCCACGTTTAATATTCAGTAATATATAAATAAAAAATTTCAATCTAATAGATATATAGCACAGATAGTATAAGACACATTTTCAATAGATATCATTTTGTAATTTTATTAATGATATTTTCATGTTCCTTAAGATTATCAAAAATACTAATGATATTAATCAATTCATCATAATACATTATATATTGGAATTATTGCTTTTAATATATTTACTTAAATCTCAAGAACAATTTTCCAATATATTAATATTATTGTATATATTAATATTTTCTTTTCTAAAAATTTTATTTACGTGATAAAATTATATAAGCATTTAATTCTGATTTTTGCAATTCATTTCAAAGTGATTTCTTTTGCCACATATGCATTTAATTTTACATGAAATTATTTATCAGGATTGTATAACATAAGCAAAATACTACATAATTTATATTGAAAGAACAGGCAGAGTCTTGTTATTTTATGAAATAATTATTTTTACATCAACAATATATAAAAATTAAAACAAAAAATGTACATATAAATTAAAGAATATTAGTATTCATTATGAAGATAATTAATAATTGTAATAATAATATGTTACATTAAGAATTATAAATGGAGCAGTTTCAAAAAAAATTATATTTTTTATTTTTTTATATAATCTATATATTTAGAAGTATTATAGGGTAAATAAATGATAAATATTTGAACTTAAAAGCATGGAAATAATGTTAATAATTTCATAGTTATTGTAATAGAACAGATATTTTTTACCTTTATTATTTCATATATAAAGAGTTCCTATTTCATTTAATGCACAATGATCTAACAAAAAAATATATATTTAATTTATGAAATACAGAAAAATATACTTGTAGTATATTTTAATTAATATTATTTTTACGTGTTTAATATATAAATATTAGTGATACTACATATACGTATTCTTACTAACATTCAATTAAAGAATAATTAAAATAATAAATCCTTTTCGATTGCGAATAATATAGGACATTCTTTAAACACAGCTAATGATATACATATTAGACTGAATGTTATGCATTGTGAAGCCACAATGAAAATAATCTACACCTGTATTATAATAAAATCCTATATAATATGTAAAAAAAAAAATAAACATTACAGTATTATTATAAATTATTTATATAAAACATTTATATATTATATAATTTGATATTAGCAATAATATAATAAAACATTCTCATTCAAAATATATATTATATTATATATTATTTTTTGCATTACAAGCTGTTTATTTTAATTAATAACTTTAATAACATTATTGTAATATATTCTATATATAATATAACTATAACAAATATTATTATGAATTGTCATATATATTGAATATACTATTTTAATATTTTTATAGTTTTTTACAATGTATTTATATGTAGAATTAAAAAAATTATATGAAAAATATAAATATATATATTTTTATTATTTGAATTAGTTTTAATTTTAAATTTATGAAATGTTACATTTTTATAATTGATATATAATTTAATATTTACATCAGAAACAATACGCATGCTTGTATAGAAACTTTATATATAAAATTTAATATTCTTTTTTAGATTGTGTTCACGTAGAACAATTAGAAACATAATACTTATACATATATATATAATTAATATAAAAATGTTCGTTATATATACCTTAAATAAGATATTTCCTAATGAAGTCCATTTTATTCTGATACACTAATTTATATTTACCTTCCATAACATGCCAAAAAAAAAAAAAATGTAAATAAAATTATATTATATAGTATGTAACTAATATCTAGTATGAATATTTTCTTATATTATAGTGTTTTCTTTTATAATTAAGCATATAATGAGAAAAAAACATTTGAACCCTTTAATATTTTTACAATTTTATAATTTATATATTAATTTAATTTATTTTTCATTACACCCTAAATTTTATGTACTAATGTGATAAAATTACATTATTATGATGTGTAACTGTTCCTTAGATAAATATATTATTGTAATATTATTATTATAGAATATATTAATTTAGAATTTTAATTTCTCTATAATTATAAAATTATACATGCTTTCATATTTTTTTTAATAAATATTAATTAATGCATCTATGCAGGTGGAAATATTTTTTTTAACATAAAAATAATTTTAAAAATAGATATATAACTTAAAATATAGAAGATATTATAAAATATCACATTATTTATTTAACATACAAATTAAAAATATATTGATATTATCACATATAAGCTACATGTATAATATTAATATTATTATATAATTTAAATCTAAATTTTTTCTCTTACACCTCAAGAGGACAATATTGAACAGCAAAAAATATATTTCTATAATATTTATTTATCAGTTTTACGGAAAATATATTGCACAATAATAAAAGTATAATTTTAAAAATATATTTAAT